CTAGACGTAAGAGTGACCTTTCGCCAGGTTGACCTTTGGTGCGGGCGCAGATGGGTCCCCAGATGGCTGGAAACGAAGCAGGAGCAACGGATTGCGCGCCCAGGTTTGGTCCCCCCGCGGCCCCCAAAAAGCCGCGCACCAAAGGTCACTCTTACCCAGGGTCACTCCTGCGTGCCTCCTCCTCCTCCGTTTTCACCTGCGTCACCATTCCCCATGTACACTGTCCACGCGCTGACTGTGCGCACCGCTCTGCTTATTGGGACCGAACCGAAGAGCTTGAACAGCTGTCGCACCAGTGTTTGCGGCCCAGTGCGCAATGAAACAAATCGTAGTTGCGTGCTCCGTGGTTCCGCTCTGTTTCAGAATTACAAGATACTCGAACCCCGTCCCACCACATTCGGGAGAGCTCAACATACAGGGAATAAAAAACAAACCAGGACGGCATGCCCGGCCTCAGCCTCGCGGACCCACGTAAAAATCATGTTTTCTGTTAAAAAATGAAATAAAAATCTAGTTATGTTACATGCCATGTGACCGTCGCGTGGGTCCTACTTCAACACATGTTTTAAGAAGTATTCTGACGGTAGGACCCCGCATAATAATCTGTTTAGCTTACCAAGGGATCTCCTCCTGCCCCCTCCTTTCTCCCATCTACTCTTGCCTCATCCTTTTCCTCCTGCCTGCTCCTCTTGCCAACCCCTGCCTCCTCCTCCTCCTCCTCCTCCTCCTCCTCCTCCTCCTCTCGCCTCCTCCACTTCCTCCTCCTTTCCTTCCTCCTCGTTATGCCTCCTCCCCCCATTCCCCCTGTTCCTCCTGCCTCCTGCGTTCTCCTCCTCCTCCTCCTCCTCCTGCTTTCCCTCTCCCTCCTCTTCCTCCTCCTCTCTCCCGCCTCCTCCTCTCCCTCTCCCTCCTCCGCCTACCCCTCCTCGTCTCCATCTTCCTCACCCTCCTCGTCTCCCTCCCCTGTCTCCTCAAGTTTCCTCTTGGGGCCTCCTGGGGCCTCCTCTCCTTCTGCCTCCTGGGGCCTCCTGGAGCCTTCTGGGCCTCCCGGGACATCCTGGAGCCTCAGGCACTCCTCTTCCTCCTTGTCCTGTCCTCATCTTCCCCCTGTTCCTCCGGGGGGGGGCCCTCCGATGTTTTCGGATGTCTTCGGAGGCCGATGGTCGGACGAACTGACAACGTGGGGGCAGGGGGTCACGCCGCACTCGCAGAGACATGCACTGTGAGCACTGATCGCGAACAACTGCTTGCAATCCGCAACTTTTAGAGAGACAATGTTGGTTGTCTCTAGTGAACTATAGCTGTAGGCGAGGTACGGTGCTGAGATGCACGCCTTCCAACATGAAATGATCAGGCGCGCTAGTCTATAGTATCGAGACGTTTGAGATCGGTCTGCTACCAGAGCCGCGACTGGAACAACTGCTTGTGTTCTGCAATAGTTTGAGAGGCAGTGTTGGTTTTCTCTACTTAATTCGAGCTGTAGGCGAGCTACGGAGCTGAGATGCACACCGATCGACAGAAACGTTCAGCAGCGCTACTCTAAAGTATCTAGACGTTTCAAATCGGTCTGCTACCAGAGCTGCGACCAAAAAAAGAGTTTCACTCTTCAACGCATTAAGAGACGATGTTGGCTTTCTCTATTTAGTTCGAGCTGCAGACAAGCTACGGAGCTGGGAACCACGCTATTCGAACGGACAAATCTGGAGCGCTAGTCTGGAGTATCGGGACGCCTGAGATAGGTCTGCAACCAGATCTGCGACCGAACAACTATCAGCACTTTGCAACCAGCTACCAAGCTGTCAAACACATCATTCGATAAAAGACGCCCCACGAGCACCCCAAACGGCCCCCAAAAGGCTTCCAAAACTGCCTTCAAGAGGACTCCGGGAAGCCTCCCACGAATTCCGAACGAATTTCCAAGAGGCTTTTAAGGCACGGTGGCGGGATGGGTCGAAGGCCACCATCGGGAACGTGAACCTAGAACCCGAGGTCTTCGCCCCAGGAGACCCCCAGGAGGGGTCAAGAGGTCCCAAAGAAGGTTGGCGACAGATCACCGGTCGACTGGTCGATGAGAGCGGAGGAAGAGGAATGAGGAAAAGGCAGGAAGAAACATATAATTTTGACCTCATTATTCTTGACCGCCTTGAAGTCTCAATGCTGTCAGCACTCGACCAGCTAGAGCCTAAGCGCGCGATGGTTCTAGTATATATATACACAAAATATGGCCCTACCCCTTGGCATGTGCGTCTGTGGGATGGTTGTTCTTTGGTGCAAGTTGCAGTTCGCTCCCATGTGCGCTTGCAGAACGAAGTGCTCCCATTGACCGCTGATGTCAACTTCTGGTCTCGAGGGGAGGATCCAAGTGCTTTCGGCCTCTGTGGCCCCAGAAGGGGGTTGGCCATATTTGTCCGACCCTCATTTGCCATCGTCGCCGTGAATCTCGCCAACACCATTTACGCTGGACCCCCATGGCGCCGCCCCTGGCGCACTCCGCCCGCCAGGGAAAGGGGTCCAGCGCCGATCCGAGAGATCCGCGCGGCTCTCCGAAAGCTGCTGCTCGTGCAGCTACTTTGCTCCTCTGCCCTGCCTCCTGCCAGCTGCTGTGCCAGGGCGTGCTCGGTGCCGAGCCTAAGGAGGGCCAGTGGCAGCCTGGCTGAGCGCCGCCCCGTTGCCAGGAGAACGCGGCTGCCCTGCTGGCCTTCGCCACCGGCGCCCACGGTGGCCGCCCCAGCAAGGGGGGGCGGGCGTCGAGGGTGAGGGAGTGCAGGGAGGGAGGCGGAGGAGGAGGAGGATGAGGCGGAGGAGGAAGAGTATGAGGAGGAACTCAAGGAGGTGAAGGGGGAGGAGGAGGAGGAGGAGGAGGAGGAGGAGGAGGTGGAGGAGGAGACGGAAGGGGAGGGGGGGGGAGGAGGAGGAGGAGGAGGAGGAGGTGAAGGAGGAGAATGTAAAGGAAGTGGAGGAGGAGGAGGAACAGTTAGGCGCCGACAACATTCATAAGTCCATGACAGGTGTCAGACTCACAATTGGACTAAAGAGCCAATTAGGTTGTTCCCAACATTGCACGCAGGGATTCGGCATACATACATGGCCGAAGAGGACTTTACTCATCATCGGACCACACATTCGTCACAGTCATTAACACACAGCCCCACACCCTGCACGGGTGCCCAAGAGCCATACCGGGGTGAGAGGCGTTGAGGGAAGGCCCAGACATGGACCCGAGGACAATTCGGAAGTTTGGACAGATTGACAGGATGACCCATACAGTTTCTAATCCATAGCTTCCGTTACCATCGGGCTCAAACCTAGCATTGACATGCTTGCCTTCACATGCGTATCCAGCTTGATGTTCACGACGACGCCCCCTTGCATTTTGACGAACAGCAGCGCCTACGCTGTTTTTTGAGAGTACATGGGCTAATACAACACGGTTCACCTATCAACCCTCGCTGTCGATCTACATGACATGGCCATTCAAAAAGGACGACGACATCACACACGAGCGCAAATACTTGACCGGCTCTTTGTACCGACGATCGAAAGAACAATACATTGATACAGGAAGCGAGACTGCAGTTCCTCTGCGACGTGTACAGGGTCGAAACAAAGAACCGACCGATTACGCACAGATGCGCCATCCACATACGACCCAGACTGCGCAAAACCACTTCACGCACATGTCAAGCCGAACACGCAGGACATGAACACCGAGGCCGACACCGAAAAACATTTCGTCTACGTCCCACTACGACCTAAGCCGCGTATACTTGCTTGTCCCGACCAGCAAGGGCTGGACGAAGGCCAGGCGAGAGATGCATACCTACCCGACATCAGCAAGACAGACTTACATGTATTAAACGATTCAACGATCGGCTCACATCAGCATTTCCGGGCTGGAAGTACCTATGCTCACACCATTGCGCCCATTTACACTGGTCACAATGGCTGGAGGAAATCCCATACAATTGAAAAGCCGACCACCGACCCAACCACCAGCCATTCATCGACGACGAGGAGCCACCAAGATACATACGCAAAGTTCCAGTCGGACACTGCACATGGGAGCATCTAGGCAACGACGCTGACCAAAACAAGATACGACGAAAACGCTCAAACAAACCAAGTAAGCACGATACAAACAATTCTACCAGCCGAGCACCAAGAGGTGCGAGTTCCAGATGGACGAGGACTACGCCATCCACGCGGAGACCAAGTACAACGAACAGAGTTACGAAGCGCATGCCTTCATATGTTCAATGACAAACCCACACCACATAGTCGCATCGGGGTCTGAGCTACTTCTTTACCAACTGCCTGGCCGACGCACTACACACTTCAGGAGCCTCGACCCTCCACCCGCCATGGACAACGTGCATACTCGAGAAGAGCCGACGCCACATCAACCCCACCGGTAACACACGAGCAGCCCAAATATGTTGAATTAGAAGCTGCTGACAATTTCGAATGCGAGTTGCTAATCCAATGGAAGGGCACCGCTCGCAATTACCGTGCAGGCTCAACACCCGCAACGCACTACGAGCTTAAAGCGTTGTGCGGACACAACCCCAAGTGCCCACATATGATCGGACGCCTGGGACCTACGTCCAATTACAGAGCTGTGCCCGAACAAATACGTCACCTACGACGACTGCAACCCGAGCGGGACGGTTGCCGATTCCGCGCCGACCTACCACCGGACGACAAGCACCACGCATTCGTACAACAACATCTTGCAGAAGGATAAGAGACCGAGAAGGACGTCTACGACTACCAGGAGGAGTTGCGAATCGTGCGCAATGGCCAGGGGAAAATGCTACCACCGGAGCAAAACATAGTTTTCCTCACGTTCCAGAGGAAGACGACACACAACAAGAAAGATGCGACGATAGCCGCGAAAGCATTACACCCGAGCCACCGCGCGGATGCCAATGCCGCCGACGCAGAGCGACGTCGCACCAACAGCCCAATGGCAGGACGACCAATGCGAAGATTACGGAATTTCAGCGCCAGAGGGCAACGACAGCGACAGAGACGACCCATGGGCCAAGATGGGCGGTGTTTTTGGCTTCTTCAAAGCTTCTATATCAGAGCTCAAACCACGCGGATACCACAGCATGCACCTATCCAGCGGTTGGGCCGCCCACTGCCACTACGCCAACTCAGGCGAAGATATCCAGGGGTAATACATTTGTCACCATGCAGTCTACTGCCAGGAGGCAACAAACAAATGCACATTCAAGTTCCCCTATCACTGCCTGGGTCGCACAGATATCTTTTCAACGAATGCAACGGCGAGATCTTTGTGCACCGCGGCGGCAAGCAGCACTTACTGCATCCACCACTACGACCCGACCCCCAAGCTCCACCACTGACTACTCGCACAGTCCCTGCTACGTCTTACACGAAGCTGGTCAAGCTCAAGGACGCCGTCAAAGTGGACTCACACCAACCACTACGCACACTTCCTCAGCAGCCGAATCCCTTAAGATGCGGCAGCGACTGACAGGCGTCTGCGGGGCTCTACCGCGGCAGCTTAACATTCTGAGTGCAATTAGTCCAGACGCCCTCTCACATCGCCGCGCTGATTGCGATGGGACAAGCGCCGCTCAGCAATGTCAAGATCGCAGCCACGCAGGAAGTAGCACAATGGCTCAACGCTTGCCATGGCGACCACGACGCGAAGCAGAACTCCTACTAGAACAACGCACATGCGACCTACAATTTCCACGGCCGCAACTCCCCAGCAAGCGCGACGACATCGACAGCTCCCGCGACAGAGACAGCATCGCTAGCACAGCGCATATGACACAGCAAATACCGACCGGGCCACCGCTACCGTCAGCTCAGCCTTGTTCCACACCACTTGCGCCCACTCTACCGCCATCTTGGACCGCTGGCAGCGCGCCGGCCGGCCCCCGGCAGACGCGGCCGACGGCGCGCGCAACCCAGCAGCGGAACGCCAGCCGACGTTGCAGCCACGGCAACCAAGAGCGCCCGCGCCACCATCAACCACGCAGCAAGACTCCACTCCGCATGCGCAACGGTAACATGACACATCACCAAGCAAGCCCATGCCAAACATACGCAGTAGCATGGCAACCGCTGCAATCACGACCGCACCGCGCCAGCGACCGTGCAAACCATCACCTGCGCACCTAGCCCTACAAACGCCAAGCACGCCTAACTCCAGCAGAGCAACTGCACCCGCGTTCGCCGCGCCTGCGGCCGAACAGCGGCAACCACGCCTGCGCCTGCATTCACCGCCATAATCAAGTGGTCACCGTCGCACATGCGCCGGCCGCCGCATCTTCCACCGCCCGCGCTTGCGACGCCGATCATGTACCCGCTTGAAGAAGATGCCAACGCACAGCAATGGATGCAAGCCATCCCGCGGCTGCAGCTAGCGCCGCAGACAGGCGACGCAGCGCGCGCGCTTCCCGGCGCAGGCCGCGCATGCTACGGCAGCGCATCAAGGAGCGCTCGACGCGGGTGATCTCAGACACATATTCGACCGACGGGCCGCGTTCATCACAGAGACTGGTGGCCCCATGCTCCAGGACTACATCGGCAGACTACGCGCGCGCCATATCTCGCTACGAGACATGCCACAATCGCCTCGACGAACACAATGGGGGCACCATTCAGGGAACCACCGCCCGAGCGCATGTCTACGATGCGCAGGGCCGCCCCCGAGCACCAGCCGACAAACGCTACGGCTAGCCAACCGAGCCAGACAGGACAACCGACCTACAATGCTTGGCGCGCGGCAGACTACCGCAACTTCCACACTCCGCACTCCTAGCGGGTCAAGTACCGCAGAAGGACTCGCACTGAGAAAGCAGCGCGGCCACTCCAGCAGTCTGTCCATACACCACGACCACTGACCTGCAATGCGCCGTCCCTCCTTTTTCTCGCGGCTCTCCTGGCGCGCGAGGTACCTCGTAACGCTGGGTGCGGGGGTTTAGCCTGCAGCGCCCTGGGTGGCAGCCCTAGGATTGCTTCATTTAACGTTCGTACACATCTCCCTTGTCCTGCATTCTCCTTCTTCGCATTCTCGAGAACTCCTCCCCGCCGGTCTCGGGGTTAACCTACGCGACCCGGGGGCGCAGCTGGAAGATGCGCGCTCTTTGCTTTTGAGGTCAAGGGTTAACCAATTAAACTCCAGCGCGCATGCAGCCTCGGGCAAAGCCAGGAAGCATTATTTAAGCGACTGGCATGTTTTCTGTGCACATCGATGGTGGCACGTGTCCAGACCCAGTTTGCCTCCGCTGCTGCGCTTACATTGCATATCATGCAATGCACTACTCTTTTTCTTACCGCGCGGCACCTCGACGCGCTGGCCCTTACTTTCCTTGTCCGGGTTTGGGGCTGCCTTGCGAAACCCTGGGCGGCAGCTCCAGCGCTGCCTTTTTTCCGCGCGCGCATCGCGCGCTCTACCTCGCGCAGTTACTGTTGAAGGCGGCGGGTCGCCCTTGCTCGGGGCAGCGGGGGGGAGATATTCCATTCAGATTCGGGGCTAGCCTACAAAAACCCGGGTCGCAGCCCAAATGCTGCGCGCTGTTGTCTTGGGAATTAAGGGTGAACCTTTAAAACAAATCGATTGCGGCGCACTGTGCTGGCGCGCATACGCAGCCATGGACACAGCCAGGCAGCAATATTCCGGCAACATCAATTTGCCCTTTGCCGCTGTCGGCAGCTAGACGTGCGCGGCTGACCTT